ACCTGGCAGTATCGCATCCTTCGTGCTTCATTCCGACGGCATGGCAGCTCGACACTGGAAAGGTACTACTGCTAAACGAGTAAATTTTCACTAGTACACATGAAAGTCATGGAGATGCCCTTGGACGACCTATACAGAAAAATGTGAGCATAGCGGCTGTTGAGGACAGTGAATCTTGGTTCTGCTTCTTGGAAGATAGCTGTAACCTGAATTTCTGTTTTTTGGGCCGTTGATGATGCCATCGTGTCAACTAGCTCGCCGAGAGAACACCGCTCAGTTAGCCCACTTCGGGATCTGGTTGCAAAGAGTGGGACAACAATGCGACATACTTCTCTCACTGTAGAGTGGCAGGCGAAAAACCTCCACCACTACAGATGCAATACACTACTCATCTAGTTGCTGAGAATTCTTCGACAGCCCACGACCGGTTTCGCTTCTCTTGGGGCTCATCAGTTAGGCACATTCCCTGAGTTTCCGTCAAGCTCATGTTCTACTTGAACCCAAATTGGACTGATTTCGACAAATCAATTTGGTTTTCGCGAGAGACTCAACTGAATCTCTCGTTTATGATATTCTTCAACTGAATGTGCTGCACACAGGCCACTTCAAGTTTCAGTTAGCACGATATTCGAGATATCACAGTATATTTTCACAAAGGAAGCTACTCAAACCGCCGCTGAAAACTCTTCGATAGCCCACGAGCGGTTTCGCCCTTCTTGGGGCTCATCGGGTAGGCGCAGTCCCCGGGTTTCCCTCTACTTGAAACCAAATTGCACGAAATCAACAAAATACACTAGTGACGCGAAGTATACTAGGATTCGCGTTTTTTTGGCGGAAAGAAACAAACACTCCATTCATATTTCCATAGAGATGAGCGAAATCAAGATGGATCTTTTCCAGTAAGTCCCGCCACTAATTCAACAAGTGCATGTGTGAAAAGTTAAGACACCCGCCTCACTTTTTGCCAGCTCGAATTTTATGTACTCACACAACCTTGACATATTTTTGATGAAAACACAACTCCTTATGCGCATCTAGGCTCATTTTGTGCAAAAAACCTCTCCGTTCGGAGTTAACACCTTAAATGAGCTTTCGGACGCTTTCAACTCTCGTTCATGACGAGGAGACTGCAATACGTTTTTTGCAAAGCCATGGAGTGATCCATCAACGAAGTTTATGCAACAATGACCACCAAATGACACCTTGAACTGTTTCTGGCAAGTGAAAGTGTAATGCCCGACAGTGTCGGCAAGAAGTCGGTCTTCGAAAGGGAACTTGGCTGGAGCGGTCAAGGATGGAGTTTAGGACAGTAATTCCATTCATTTATTGCTGGCCAAAAATATGGCAAAACACAAATTCTACTCAGAGGAATTATCTATTAGCCACACGACCGCTGTTGACTGGAAGAACTTTCTTCGCGAAGTTTGCACCTGGCGGCTTTTGCAGACTCCAACAGTTATCGGCGGCCCAGGTCTACACGTCGAGATCGATGAAACGCTGATACCTCACCGTAAAAACCACACAGGGCGAGTCCTTCCCCCGCAGTGGATTTTCGGAGGGAAACTAAAGAGGTGCTCATGTATGCAGTGCCAGATCGAAGTGCGGCCACTTTGGTGGACACAATCCAGGTCTGCATCGCTCCCGGCTCAATCATCATCTCCGATTTGTGGGCATCATACCAAAAAAAATTGAAACAACGATTGACATGAACTATACTCATGAAACGGTTTATCATACTGAACATTTTGTGGGTCCAACTACCGGAGCTCACACACAAACCATCGAATCTCTTTGACACGTCTACAAGATGCAGAATAAACGCCAACGCGGTACACACCTATCTTTAGTGGACAGCTACATGTGTGAGTTAGTTTGGAGGCAAAGGTAGCGAAAAACGGACCTTTTCATGCAACTTATTGATGAAATGTCTCAACTTCACCCTGTCCGATAAAAACCAAAAGTACGGATTCCATATTCCTTTTTAATCTTTTTTTGGTGAAGTGGGGGGTCAATTTTTGGTGGGGCCTATCTGAAAAAGATCCATCAATGTTAGCTCCGGACCACTTTTGCACGTGATTCAATGGGACCAGTCAAACACTGATACGACAGTGGGGATATATTCTGCCCTCTCACCGCTTCTTTACCCAAATTTACGACGTACGGCTAGCCGCAATATCTCACTCGTGTGCGACAGACGTTATATCGGGGCGCTAACTAGTCCTTTGTCGGAAATTTACTCTACAGTGACAGGTGCGCAGAGGAGATGCCTGGCCAACTTAGCTGTCTCCATCTGGGCGAAAAGGACCGTCCCAACCAGCGGTTTTAGTCACCGGGGCAGTTGTGTCATGCACAAAATTCACTTACCAATCTATCTTTTCAACAATGTAGAGTTTTGCAGGTGTACCAAATTTGAGAGACTTCTTTCCCCGCTCCTCAACGGAATGACCCCAATTCACGCTAATATTATGACAGTCGATGTCCAATCGAAGAATCGGTGGTACACTGTCTACACACACACACAAAAACATCCAGATGCGTCGGGGGTGTGAACTGTGTCGATAGAGCGAATATACACCCACTTGCAAACTAATTTGGTTTTTCAAGAGACTCACCTGGAACCCAGCTGAATCTCTCGTTTATGATTTTTTAATCAACTGAATGTGTTCCACCAGGCCGCCTCATGTTTCAGTCACTACAATAATCGAGTAATCGCGATACACGTATATCTTTGTACTCATAAGATTGCTGAAAATCCGTCGACAGCGCACGACCGGTATCGCTCTTTTTTGGGCTCATCAGGTAGGCGCAGTCCCCGGGTTTCCGTCAACCTTATGTTCTACTTGAAACTTGCCTGAGAACATCACAAACGAGGGATTCAGCTGGGTTCCAGGTGATTTTCTTGAAAAACCAAATCAGTTTGCAAATGAGTGTATATTCGCTAATTTCGTGCAA